GAGTCAGTCGCCGGCCGGCTAATAAAGGCTCATAATTAATCTCAATCGGCTCCGTGGGTCTCAGAATCATTCGCGCCATAACAAAACCTTCACACATTTAGTGACCAGACGTGAAGTGTTTTGTGTGAGTAGTAAAGGAGACTCATAGGAAAGAAAAACGCAATAGAGAAGAACTGGAATTTCCCCTACATTGGAAGAAAAAAAAGCTGAGTTTTTCCATTAGACAGGGGATATGTTAATTTGCTCAAATAATGAAAGCACATCTGGTATAGTAGCTGCAACTGGGGTCACCGCCTAGTTACACTTAAAATAATCCACTGCCTGGTACAATGACTCTGACCCTATCATTTTTGCATCCCATGCAACACCTAAACTAGTGCTTTGTACTTTGTGAGCCTTAAGTTCATTTATATTTAATTTTGTAATTTGGGTGGGGAACAAGCAGCCCCCCAGATTGGCTTTACTTTGTTACTATCTTAGTCCATTTGGGCTACTCTATCAAAATACAATGAACTGAGTAGCTTATGAACAATGCATTTATTTCCCACAGTTTTAGAGACTGGATGTCTATGCCAGGTGAGGGCACACGTCCAGGTCACAGAATTTTAGTTGCATTCTCACATGGCAGAAAGGCTCCATGGTTATCTTTTATAAGAGCACTACTCCCACTCTTGAGGGCACCACCCTCATGACCTAATCACTTCTCAAAGGCCCCACCTTCTAACGCCATCACATTGAGTGTTAGAATTTAGACCCGAGAAGTTATTGGTCCTTTTTCACATTTACTTTCTTCTTCTTCTTTTTCCTGTTATATTCATGATTTTTCTTTTTGTATAGCTACACTTTTTTCCTTATAATTTTTCTACATTAAAAAAGTACATCAATAAGCTATCACTCTTTAGCTTTCCCAAACAATGAATTGATATTGGGCAAGCATTGTTTATATCTAGTTTTTTTTATAATAATCGAGATTCCCAATATGTTGTAGTTGTGGGATTCTCCTTATTCCTGATGTTTCCTTATAGGACTACCTCCTGCAAGGAAGCTGAGTTCTGCATATGCTACAGAGCACTAGGAAGACTCTAGCTTTCCTTTGTGAGAACCTGGCTCAGGTAGGGAGTGCTAAGCTGGCAAATTCCATTCTACATTCAGGGCCAAGGAGGAAAATGGAAAGTCTGACCTTGAATTTAAGTGGCTTGTTCACAGGCTTAAGAATAGAAAATTCTCAAAAAATTACTGGGTGGATTTAAAGGTAATGTACTTATCGGGGTCTTCTGGGGCCAGTGGTGTTGGAAGACACAAAAGAGGGACAGTAGTTGGTGCTGGGTGAATGGACCACCCTAAATAGATTCCTGATCTCTTCCTTTAGGTAAATAGCCACATCCTTGGTTGATTATATGCTTAATTGTCAAGCCTAACAGGTTAAAAAACAAAAACCTTGGAAATATTGGGAGGAAGTGTTTCTACAACCTCCGATAGAACTCTCCTGGTGAAGATAGCTCCATGATATGACTCTTCTGACTACTCTCCCTGGGGAGGTGAAGTGACATATCTAACTAGTAGATGGGAAGAATAGTTGGGCATGTTTCTCTCAGCTTGGCCCTTCTTCCTTGCGGGAGTGAGCTGTCTGTAAATAGCATATGTTCTATATTTAGAGAGGTACTTCTTGGCCTAGCGTTGCCTGTATCTAGAAGGGTAATTCTGGGGTTCGGTTAGCCACCATTTTGCTTTTACAGGAGGCTACTTCCTCTGTCTTGGCCTTATTGCTACTAAAGAGAATATTTTGGCCTCCATTTGCTGCTTTTGTTTTATTTCTCAGTTTCTCTAGAACTTGGAATGGGAAGAGGAATGCTGTTATTCAGCCCCCTCAGAGACCCTAACGTTGTGAATTGATAGTTATGACTCTGAGGAACACTAGTGATTACTTTTTTAAATGTCTTATTCATACTTATATATATGTGTGTTAGTTACATTCAATATTAACATGTAAAGTTCTAATTTCTGCTTTGTATATCAGCATTGTCACATTAGCTGGGATTCAGATGACCTTGAAGGTGACAATGAGCACAACAGTTTTTATGAATCCACACAATACTGAGCAGATTATGTAACACAGCCCCTGCTCTTTCAAGGCTGTCACTTGTCGAACTTAAACAAAACGTCAGCTAGATATACCTCCAACAAAAAGGGTTTATTCAGGAAAAAGAGAATTGCAATCCGGAACAGGCAGCCATGGCAAGCCATGTATGAGTTCACTAGAACAAAGAAGAGGAAGAAATTCTTCCATAG